AAAATTCAATTTTACAGAGCTATAAGTACATAAAATATTTTTTGAATTATTTTTTAACCTCATTATTAAACTAGAATCAAAATTCACACGTCTACTTTATACTATAAATTCACGGGTCTAGTGTTAAATTGAAATTAATTATCTTAAGGTTAAATCTATTCAGCAATATTAAAATGTTTCCAACTGTATATAGTCTTCAACGTAGGTACTGCCACTGAATTACGAGTAACAGTGTTACGTCAGTTTCTCTCATTATTTTTCAATTTTGTAAAGCAATTAAAAGATTAGTTTTTCAAAATCGACTTATCGTCTAATTTAAATTCAGTAAATAAACAGTTTATTCCATGTATTACCATACTATTGAAATCACATTTCTTACAGATCAATGCTATCCATATTTTAAAAAAAATTATTAATAATGGTATGTTAACGATGTTCATCAAATTAATTTCAAATTTGATGCGGTGATTGTTGCAATAGTCAAAGAATGAGCATGAACATCATAAATAGTAAATCATTTTTAGGAGTTCTCATATTCTCATATGCTCATAAACTTATAAAGCCATAGAATTGGACGGCCAACAAGTAATTAAGCAAGATTTATAGTGAATATGTTGTATAGTAAATTTAATAAATTGTTGCACAAAATTATGCTTTCTACTTTTTATATAATTTGGTAACCCTAAAATAATTGAATAACAAACAAAATTTAAATTCAACTAAAATTTATGAGTTTGTTTTCATCAATTTTATTTGTTATTTTGTTTCTTTCAAGTTGTCTTTTGGCAGACATAAATGAGAAAAATTTCAGATTAAAAATCTTCTTATACCGATATAGAAGATACATACACGTACATATATAATTATATCATTGATTATGTCTACATATACAATGTGTATACAATGTATTTAATACTTCTGAGAATAACTACTTATATATTATGTAAGTAAGTAAATAACAAGTATATAAAGTTAAAATGAAATACGTTTTTGTAGTTTTTCTTGTTCTCTGTAATTTTTTATACGATTTTATTATGAATTTTGGTACCTAGACCTAGTATGTTTTCCTTTTAATATTCAAAATTATCTTACATCTCTTGTGCTATTTTATAATTTCTTTACTAATATATATGTAGATATATAAGGTAAAAGCATGAAGTTATTTCCAATATAAATGGAAATATATGAAAAAATTTCAATTCTCATGAAATTTCTAATTTATTCTCGAATTTTCAACAAAAACATTTTTATTTCAACTAGAAATTATTTTAATAGGAAAATTATTTTGTGAAAATATTTGGTACAATTTTTTACCATAGTTTATTAAGTTATTCAAATGTTCTGTAAATATTTTTTTTTATTTTTAGAAAGGTATGTACAAACCAAAGCTGGGACACCGAGTCTGTACCGCAAAAATTTTTTAAAATATTATTGGATCTGTTCCGTTGCTAGGTTTTAGTTAATTTCCAGAAAAAATAATTTTGGAAGGTGAAAGGCACTCAATTGAATTAGAAATTAATTTTGTGATTTGCTCACAATCATTCAGAAAATAATTGGAGAACTACAAGTGAAAGTTCCCAAAAAACCTTCTATATTCTATTCACATTTCCAAAACATTTTCTAATTTTCTTAAACAATCCTACATTGTTTCGGAATTAATGCTCTAATAGTGAGGTATAATCAGCGTATAAGTACACTGATCTGCCTTTTAAAATTTTCCCAGCAAATACGTAACCTATACGTGCACCCTGAAACACTCTGACCCATCTTTACAATTTTTAATCTGGCGTATAGTTATGTAAAAGTTGAACATGCCTTTTCTATTTAATATATTGCATACACTTCAAATCCGACAAAGTTATATTTTGATAAAATATTCTTCCATATTATACAATTGTAGTCATACAATTAAGGAGACAAATTTATTAATTCCAAAGTCAAATATAACAAATATGCCGCTGAAATGAATTAAAGGAATTTTCTAATTATATAGGCACATGTCTTCGATATACATATATATAGGTACTCGTATACATATATTTACAAAAATACTGAGATCTTTATATAAATTTAGTGACTATGTAGGTGTTACAAAAATATTTTATTTAATAAAATACCATTTCGTATCATATATTTAAGGATTCTATCACGTACACATAAGTTACTTTATTATAAAATGAATCCATTATACTGTTATACTCGTATGTATAAATTAAAATATAAATTTTCAATATCAAATCACTAATTTTTATCATTAGCATCTAAACACATATATGTATACATAAAGATATTTTTAGGCACATAATATATCTAAGAAACTTTAATAAATTCCCAAAGCATATTATTAATAGTTTTAATATAATAATGACAAGATATTTTAGGTATATTCCAATAATAGTAATTATCTATAAAATGTAGAGATTCTAAATATAAAATCAATATTTCTAATCAATATACAAATTTATAATAAGATACTATAAATGAAGGGTTTGATTTTAAATCATTTTTATAAGTATTATCTGAATAAATCCTTTACAAATTACGTTTGAATTTAGAAATTTTGCCATAGGAACCGAATATCTTCAAAATTACAATGTTAAAATTAATTACCAATGCGAAAATATGATTTAAATTTACTTTGAGATGGAGTTTTGAGAACACTTATAGCTATACAATCTAATCGGATTCTTACACAATAAACATAAAAAACACTTACTCTTCATATTGTTAAATTAAGTTGGCAAAAGCAGTATAATCAAGTTTTGAAAATTTGTACAGGTTTATACTTAAAGGTATTAGTACAGCTGTGTAAAATTTTCAGCATCACATGCTGTTGCTATTTTTCATAGCAAAGCTTAGGCCTAATTGTGTTTGCATATTCTGTACACTATACAAAGTATTTTTGAAAATTACTAAAGTATAGATTAACTCTTACGACAATTATTGCAGTAAATATATTTGCTTGGATAAGTAAATATTATTGGAGTCCCTGTTTGTGATTGTCCTAAAAGCTAAATTTTTTCACAAAATTTAATAAAACAAATTTTACTGTTATTTGCAAAATTTTGTATAGCGGAGCATGTTTTTCTCAAATTTTTTTTTTTTTGTACCTTAAAATATTTCTTAAAATTAAACAAAAAAAAAAAAAGGTATTCATGTAAAAAAATTACAAAAGCCAAAGAAATGAAAAAACAAAAAATTCCATTTTCACTCACGTCTTACTTACCTTAAAAGTACGCTCTTATTATTTTTATATTTTTTTTTTTCTTTAATTATGTGGTGGTACAAAAATCGAGCATTACGACTACGAGTAATAATGCAAAAGAAAAAACTGAAAATTAAGAGAAAAAGAAATTTGTCCTCTTCTCCTCGTCCTCTTCTAGTCCTTCCTAAGAAAATTTTGTTGTTTGTTAATTTTAGACTTTTTTCTTATATTTAATTTTTTTTTTGTGTTTTTTTGGTAAACAAGTAAAGAGTGTTACGTTTATCTAACATGTAATTTAAAAATGAAATTTAATTAAAAACAAAAAAGGATAAGGGAAAAACAACAAAATTTTAATTTTAGAATTTTTCTTTTTTTGTTCTTATTGCTTGGTTTAACAACTTTGCATATAAACATTTTATAATTTTAAAAATTGATTTTTTTTAATTTGTTTTAAACATGCTCACCTGCTTACTACAATACATACTGTAAAAAATTGTTTCAAAACTTTTTTGATCTACTTTATGATTGAAAAGTTTAAAACAATTGAAGAGCAAGTAATTAAATGATTTTATAAAACTTTGCCCGAATATAATTCAAAATATGAGGAGTGTATGAAATATTAAAAAAAAAAAAAATTTGAAAGAATAACAGTTTAACAGCACAATTTAGTTGTTCAAATGATTAAGGCAATTAATTTAATAAATTCTCAATTAAACAGAAGAGAGGCATATAATAGAGAAAATTAACAGAGAAAATTATTTAAGCGTGAGATTTCAAAACAATTGACTCCGTATTGTCAACAATTGACAACGTATTAAGAGTAATTACGGCCAAGGGGGGGGGGGGGGGGTTCAGATTAACATCTGAAAATGCAGGGTAAAAGAATTATTTTAGTATTTTAGCACTTTTTTCTTAGATTAATTATGTTTACATTAAACTATACAAAAATAGGACAATTATTTTCAGTACATTTGCCATGTAAGCATGTAAATGTAAACATTACATTTTATTGGTGTATGAATGTATATAGTGCTATTAATAAATTTCTAAATTTATTTCACTTCAAATCTATATCAAAAAATCTAATTTATATTTAAAATTTCTAATCATTTACGATTCATTTAAATTTATCATTGCTATTTTTTCAATACAAGCGACTCGTAATCTTAATGCATTAGAAAAGAGCTTATCGAGATCATTGTATTCCTTCTAAATTTAAAATATTAGCAAAATATATAGGTATAGACTTACCTATCTATATACATACGCATTGTATCATATCCCTTATACCGTTTACATAGAATATAAGTCGTTTATATCTCATAAAATAATTTTATATTTACTTTCTTTTTTTTTAATGTTCCCTCTTTTTATGATCATCGACAGTAAAAAGGCATAAATTCCATTAGAAAAGGTAGTAAACATATACACACACAAATACGTATGAATAAATAAAGGAACAATAGGCAACCTAAGAAAACGTACAATTATAATTACAATAATTTTTTTTTATAACGTTTAAATTAAAATACGTGTTAGAAAGAATAAGAGTCCTTTTTTTTTTTGTGTTTATTAATATGCTTTGTTGTTTTCATGCAATAATTTTTCTTTATAAAATTTTTTGCAATTAAATTATTTAATTTCTTTTTTGGAATTATTTTGAAGCACAAAATATTGGTATATATATAGGATACGTACATATTTAAATATCATCTTCAGAGAACATACCGAAGGGGGGGGGGGGGCAATGGAGGGGGAGAACAACAAAGTACCAATACAATAATAATCAATTTACCTTTCTCTATTTGATGTCCTTTGACGACTTTTTCTTCTACGACGTCTTCGACGTTCTGATGATGCTGTACTTTGATGTAAAACATGTTGACTAAAGGAACTTGATATACCACCACCACCACCACCATCAACACCATTATTATCAATTGGTATTTGTTGATCACCGCTAGCAGCTAAACGGCGACCAGTTACTGCTAAATTATTTGTATTATTTGTATTATTACTTGAACTAGGGACTGCATTTGCTGTTCCAGTTACTAAATTATTACCAGTACCAGAAACAGCAACAACTTGAATTTGATTATCACCACCAAATCCAGCTGAACTAGCTGTATCTGATTGTATTGTTGTTGATGATTTTGATGTACGACCAGTAAAACCACCAACTTTTCTCCACATTCGTTCCATTTTTGAAAATCAATTTATTTTTTATATATATAGCTAGTATGTGTTAATTTTTTTTATAATTTAATTATATTTGAATGGTTATGTATATGTGTTAATTATTTTTAAAAGGAATTTTAAAAGGAATTTATAGATTTTTTAAATTTTTTTTTACTTTGGCACAATTACTTAAATTTTGAATTAATTCATATTTTACATAAAAGAAAACAATTTTCTTATTTCAATATTATTTAATTTTAAATTACGTTTTCTTCAATATTTATTTTTAGAATTTTCATCATTATATTGAATATTGTATTAATTTAAAATTATTAGTATACACTCACAATAAATATAAGTACCGAATATATTTTTGCTTTATGCTCATTATATTATATAAATTTATTCTATATAATTTTATAATAATAATTAATAATAACTTTTATATTAAACGCACAATTATTTTCTAATATTTATTTCATTTATATAATATAAAAGATTTCTGATTTTCTATATTCTTATTTAAAAAAAAAAAAAAAACTTGTTGTTCAGTCTATTTTCAATTTTTATAATTTTTTATATACCTAGATATTCGCACATTTATTATGTAAATTAATTATATAATTATTGTTATTCATTTATTAATTATTGTGAAAACATTTAACTGAAATCAAAGCAATATATTTATTAAATATTAAAAGAGAACATTAATTATGCAATAAAAAATTTAATATTTTATTAAATGAATTTTAAATCAAAGTAATTATTACTTTGAAATCTTTTTAATTTATATATTGTGATATTAATTTGTTTATGAATTTTTTATTCGAATTGAAAACCTATTTTATATACATATATATATATACAAACGTACATACCTACATCTTGTTAATTAAATATTTCTATATATGGAATATATACAAATACGTATACATATTTATATATTTGCATGGTATACGCGATATTAAAAAATATTATGTTTTGTTATAATAACTATCCCAACAAACAAATAACAACATTTTGTATGTACATAAATCCCCTGTCATTAGTCGGACAAGGTCTATATTAAAATATGTACGAAGTGAAACGATGTACAACAAAATTAAAAAAACCGGAAAATATGATGACGTACCGAAATATACCTTAATTAAACATATAAGCAGAACTAACAGTCTCCGCTTATTAATTAGTTAAAAGAGACATCGCTGGGTTACCACATTTGTGATAAGCCATTATTTTCCCAATATATACATATATGCTTCTTCGAATCTCTCTCAAAGTTAAGGTATCCTATATGGTTAATAAATTGCGTTCGAGTATCGCTCCTGTGTTCGATTCTCGAACGTAATCTAAATTTTTTCCCCCTACAAAAGTTAAAAATTGTTTGTCGGGTAAATATAGGTTTACAATAATCAAATGAAATTAATATTATTATATAATTATGTTTATTTTAATTACCATATTAAAACAATTTAATTAATACTTGAAATTGTATGTATATATTACATATAGAGCCAAATAATATTTACAAAATATTTATTAATACTAAAAATTATCTAAAATGTAATCATAAAATTTCACTTATTTTTGTTTGTGATTTGAATCGAGAATAAATCCGTAATTTAAAGAATTACATTAATTTTGAAATATCAAAATGAAATTTCCTATATATAATCACATATACAACTAAAATATACATACACATACATATACATAAAATTGATTTTACAATAAGATCAAAAATAATCGAAAAAATATAAAAATTAACCTTGGAAAATATTTTATTACATTGTTTTCTACATATTTATATCATTTTAATTGAATCAAAAAGTAATGAATTACAAATACATATACATATAAAAAATGTCTAGCCCACTAGGTTCCGTATTTATAATCAAAAAAGAAAAAAATATTTTTGTAGATGTTTTTATTACTTTTCAAATAGCTTTTTGACACGCAATTTTTAAAAGAAAATATGAGGAAAAAAAAATGAAGCCTGTTGCATTTTTGCTTTTTTAGAAATCAAAAGGATTGAATAAAATTCATTGATGGTTTTCGTAATATATAATATAAACTAAAAAAATAATATACTAAAAAATAAGTAGTAAAAGTAATTAAGGAAGTGTTTAGAGTACTCTTTTCCTATATTTTATTTTCAACAATATAGTTAGACCCCGTGTACGATTAATTAGAATATAATAAGGAAAACTTGTGTAGAACACAATAAAACTGATAGACGTGCAAAACTGTAGAGAAATTTTCGATTAACATTTTCGTGGTTTCAAAGCTGACCCAATTCAAAATAACAATTAAATTTTTATTTTCATAGCACATTTTATTAAATTTGACAATAATAAACTGATAAGAAGTGTCAGAATCTGTTATTTATGTATATTAACGTTACGAACGCTTTTCGTACATAAAGATATTTAATATAGGCCATCTGTTTTAAAAAATTGAAATTATAATAAGTACCAATTACAATTTCTGATTTATAAACTATTTCATGTAGATATGAGATGACCCGCTCTCCTAAATGACTTTGGTTTTTGCACTAAGTAAATTTTTTTTTCCCTTTTTACCCAAGTTCCCAAATTTCAAATAAGAATAGAGAGTCTGATATAAAACAGAATTTAAATTTTTTACTACTGCAATATTTTTATCCCCTAAATAGTCGTAATTATTCTAGGAACAAAAATTTCAAAAATTAAAAATTATTAAACTTTTCTCTCTTAAATTTTTATTTTTTCAAAAATAATTTCACTGAAAATATAATAAAAAATTTATGTGTATATAAAATAAAATTTATATTAAATTTTTTACTTATATAATATAAGTATACATACATAATTTTGTTTACAAATTCTTAGGAAAACATGATTCTTAGAATATGTTTTTCCAAAGAAAAATAACAAAACAAAATATTTATACAATATACATAAATATACAATGTTATTTACTCTAATTATTACATTTTGCTTAAGAATTCGTACATACACAGGCATGCTCTTAATATAAATCAAATATTGAAAAGAAAATCTTTAAATTAAAATAATATTAATTTAATAAGTTCAAAATTTCAAGAGATTCGAAACAGAAGAATTTCATTTTAATGTGAATTACAGAAATTAAGAAACAATTCTCTATAACATTCAATCATTATTGGTTTGCATTCAAAAAAAAAAATTTAGCAAAAATTTGTCTAGTATAGTTTCACTTTATTGGTTCGTCTGTTCGTTTAAGATGGGAAGGAAAAATTTTGTACAAGCATTGATCCTAGTCAGACAATTTATTCTCTAACAAATTTTTTTTGGCAGGAAGCTCCACAAAGTATAATCCCTGAAAATAGAAAAAACTATTAAATTAGAGGCTCTCGAATTGATTTTTCTAGCTCCAACCAGTTTTTCACTAATTTTTAGAACAATTCTTCTCCTAAATGGCAACTCATAATATTTTGCAGATATTGTTTAACATTTCATTCAACTAGAACGAAGTTTTTTTGTGAATCCTACATCTTTTAAGTTATTACTTCTCAAAGTTTCAGTATTTATCGCCACTATAAGCTCTATACTGATCTTCAATAAAAGCAAAAATATAACAGTGATTAGTTTTTATGATTTTATGCAAAATTATATGGTATAAGAGAAATATTTCAGTTGATCGTTTTCGTGACTTATAAACCTTAAATATTTGTAAATAGAAGCTCTTAATTTAAATTATACAATTAGAATTGTGCTATTTTACAAACTATGAGTCTGATGAACTATATTTTTTAATTAAATTATTAAGAACCTATGCAGCAATAAAAAACCATTTAAGAGAAAAATATTTGAATTTTGTTCCATGTTAAAAACGGTTAATTCTCTTTTTCAATTTTATTAATTTATTTTTTTCTCAATATTTATTGAACATAAAAATACTTTTCTCAATTCTCAATATCTACGTTACAATAAACAAAATTATGGTGTTCACGCAAATTACAAATTAAAACAAATATCCTTTTTTTGGTTATTTTTTTTTTTTTTTTTGATTTCCATTTAAACTTAAAATTTGTGAAAAAAAAAATTTAAACGAAAATCAACACAAAAAAAAATTAATTCTAAAAAAATACAAATTTCACGACTTTTCCCCATTTAAACCAATTAGGTTAAAGCATAAAAATAAATATTCAAAACGCGCGGTATCCTCTAATCCATTCATTCACCCACCAGCCAACCCATCAAATTTTTTTTTTTTTAAACAAAACAAAAACAAAACAAAACTTACAATAATAATAAATATTTTAAAGAATGTAGATATGTATATATATATATATACATACATATATGCAAATATATTTACACTTAACGGATATTATGTGTTGTTTTCCTTTATTTATATTATACGTGATACAGACAACAGGAGATTTTAATAGGAGACTCATTTTATTTGTATTATTTTTTAGGGTAAATATAATTTTAAAGATAATATCCTAAAGTTGGTCCCTTATTTGAAAATATGGAAATATTTTGAGGGAAAATGTAAGTATTAAATTACTAAATTTGAGCTTTACAATTATTAAACTTAAGATGAGAATGTCAATTTTTTAAAAATTTCTTTAAAATATCGGGAAAAATCGGAAAATTAATTGATATATTAGTAAGTTGGATAGTAATTGCAACATCTTTGAAGTTTGTTTCATTATGAATTCATTAAGAATTTCAGTGCTGTACTTGGCTACTGATGGCAAATAAATTTTTTCATACCGAAATAAATTTTTTTCATGAATCTTTATCTTGAACCCTAAATATTATGGATTATGTATAGGTTTACTTGCTGAATTTTTAATTTCTTTATTTTTATATTATAAATAAACAATTTTAATTGTATAAGTAGGTGTCTATATAAATAATATTTGTATATTAAAATTTTTGGGTGAAAATTCAATTAACAAATAAGGTTTAAATTAATGAAAGCATAATAAAAGTGGGCTTTACACATTTGAATATAAATAAATTCAAAAATGTTATACATAAAATATTTAT